AAAAAGAAAATATTTGATTTTTTTTGAAAAAGTAAAAAAAACAACACATTATCAGTTTCAGCCAGCCTTTATTTCTCATTTCAGTTTCGATTCGGTTTTGAAATTTTCATTTTGGTGCACCTCTAATGTAAACCCTAACTGGATTTGTTTGCTAAAGCACTGTATATCATAAACAATATCATTACCCTATAACAGGAAGTGCCAGAACAAGGAACTTCATTGCAGAATTGTCAGGTATTGCATTCTACATCTTTAAAAGGACTGAAAACAAGTTTTGAAATTACATTAACAAAGTAAAGATGAGATGGGATTTTAGTGATTAGTTTTTAGATCTTCTTTAAAGCTGAACTTTGGAAAATATTGCCTAATACGAGAGTCATGTGTCTTTTAGTGTGATCCAATGTGTGATCTCTAGTAGTGATGAGCCGAACACCCCCGTGTTCGGTTCTAACTCGAACTTTCGAACATGGAAAAAGTTCTAACTCGAACTTAGAACTCAATGCAAGTCTATGGGGGTAGAAGTGCTATTTAACCCTGATGTGCTTCGTGTATTTCTTTCAGATCTGTGCAGTAACACAGTGTGAAACCTTGTCTCAGTGCAGGTGTTTCCTGTAATAAAGACCAGTCACTGCTGCTCTATCTTCTTATGCAGGGTGACTGGTCTTGTGCCCCCTCCTGTAGTTTTCTGCAGGCAGCCTGTAATGGGTGTGGCCTGCTGGACCCCCCCCCCCCCCCCCCCCCATACTTTTATATGGCAAAGACATCTGGTACACACAGAGTCGATTTATATCATTTTGGCTATTGAGGAATATAGTTCAATTAAAAGTTTAAAGTTACTGTAGTGGAGACATTTATACAGATTGGAGATCATATCAAGCAAAACCTGTGATGAGAAAAATACAGGGCAAGCTGCCATTGCTTACTACTAACAATACTCGTTGCCTATGAATTAAATTATTGCGTCATTGATCGGGGGCACGCAAAGATTAGAAATTTAGATTCAAATTCCAACTCCTGACTTCCAAGCTGGTCAGTGACTTACATAGTGTTGGAAATAATGGATTAGCATGACAGCCAGCCAACTAGCATTTGTTAAGGAAATGTCAGCAATGGCAGCTTTCATATTCTCTCAGAACAAGTTTCCTTTTTAATTCAATAATTAGTATCACTAATACTGCAGATGGATAGGTCTACATATATGAGCTTCATATGTACAGAGTATATATAAAACATTATCACAGTGAAAAGGTTTACAGCTCCTGTGATAAGGTTACATGGGTGCAGCACTTGTGTCTATGATAAAGATATGTTGTAGTCATGACTGTGCATATTTATCATGTGAACATTTTCACACACACCCCCC